CCCCAAAACCCCAAAACCCCAAAACCCCAAAACCCCAATTTCAATTGTTAATATTGAAAGGAAAGCCGTTAAATTTTATAAATTTAGATTTATTTTGTAAAACTGCAAATATAATGGAGAAAAGACGCAGAAATATGTCTCAAAGTAAGCATTTCTAGTATAAAATATAGTAAAAAAGGATCTTAACCTGCTTGATCAAGCCTACAAAGTTACCCAGAAGTTTGATGTAAGTCACTCTGGGGGTAATTCTTTAGAGAATTAGTGAAATTCATCCTAATAATGACCCACGACTTGCTCTTAACATTGAAATTAAATAAGTGCAGACCTAATAACGGCCGAAATCTCTCGATGATAGACAATCAAATGACCGATGGCTCTATTGCACTCACACAGAAGAAAAGAATAACTGAAAGAAATAATTAAATCCTTGTATTGAAATGATAAGCGACATAATTGGATGTCTCTAAACCAGAATGAGACAGATCTTACTTCAAAGAATGAACCTTCAGCAGTTGAAAATCTTATGGAAAGCCTTGATGGACGACAGGGTCAGACACCAGTCGCTTCAGATTATCATAAACATACATTCAAGCACCTAGAAACAAACTCAGAGTCTGTAGATACTCCGTCCTTCCAGTGTAATGAAAAGGCAGATGGATTCTCTGAGAAGCTGACTGAAGATTATTTACGCCGGATAGCACTGTTGGAACAGGAAAATTTGGCTTTAAAGAAAGCAAATTTAGAAATACAACATCTATATGAGAACAGCCTTGAAGAGCTTGATTGGTACTACCAGAGATATGGACGAAAGGACCTAAAGCAAACAGCGAAACAACAAAATCAGCAAGGTATCTCGATGAGTTATCTTTAGAGCAAATATATGAAGAGAGTGTGTTAAAAGAGGAATTATACAAAGCCCCGACTGTTCTAAATGAGGCATCTCACAACGCACCTAAGACCTCTCGGAACTTAAGTTTGACTAATGCTGGAGGTAATTTATTCACACGAATAGATCTATAACCATTAAATCATCTTTATCAATTCTCTCACCTCTCTCTTAATTACTTTAGTTTCTATATTAAACTTCTATGGTTATTATTCCACATTTGAGGATACGAAAAATTCTTCGTGAAATCATTTTCAAGCTTCTGAACCCTAGTTTAATTTCAAAATAGGGATCCATCGGCAGATAAATACCTTACAGGCCAGAATAGCTCAGGCTACGGAGTAAGTTGCCGTTGATAATCCCTTCTAGTCGGCTGAAGCAGAAACACAAATTCAGAGGTAAGCCTTTTTGCCTAATTTCTCTAGGTCATTGCTATAACGAAAGTGCCCCAACAATGAAAGATTTTGAAGAGTAAGTATTCCAATTTTAGAGCTTCTAGTAAGATCAAAACCACCGGGAAAGAGAATCACAATGGAAAGCATAAGAATGGTAAAATAGGTACTTTATATATCTCATTTATAGTATCGAGAAGCCATGCGAGGAGGAGTCATAGAGACCCAAACACTTCTTCCTCTTCTCCAAGCTTGATTTCTAAGCTTATCAAAAGCAAGGGGAAAAAGAAGAGGAATTATAAGAAAATTCCTACTGAGAATTATTATAAGTCGAACAAGCCTGTGAAGATGAGTGAAGTTCTTGCTCCTACGAAGAACTTTAAGGAGTACAATACTAATTTCGGATAATTATTTTCAATATGAACCGTCTATTGAGGGGTTTTGGGGTTTTGGGGTTTTGGGGTTTTGGGG